TTTTTCAAATTTGAATATAATATAAAGCAATTTCTATTAATTAATTTGTTGAATCGCTTAAAACAAGAGTTCCTTAGTTTAGAATTGGAATTCAAACGACGAGTTTTCTCGTTTTCCCTTCTTCAGTCAATTTTAGATTGAAAAATTTCATTCGAATATTAAAAGTATGTTTTTGTGTTTACTAAAATAAAAAAAGAATTCTTTCTCTTACATTAATCGTGAAGTCTTCTAAATCAAAGAGCTGCAGCGACAAAGCGAGAAGAGAAAGATGTTGATCATTTTCAACATGTCCCATTACAACATGATTGAACACAATGTAAATGATGTCGGTTGGTGGTGGCGAGTCCATTAGATTGAGCATCGGCGGGGCATTAATTAAGGCCACGGAATCATCGTCGTAACGTCGCGTTGTCAGCTGGTTTTTCTCGTTTGTCCAATGACTAAACCTTCGTTAGACTTTCATGAAGATCCTTAGCGACTGCTTATACGATTAATTTTTCCAATTTTACGATGATACGTTTCTCATAATTGCACAGTCCATCGTTAACCTTCGTTTTTAAAATTTTTTTTTCATTCTTCAGAATTTTTCTCTCCTTCCGGTCACTGCCCGTTCTCCGTACGATTGAATAAGCCAGTTTAATAACTGGAAACGAGATCAACTATCGAAATGCAACGAAGGACGGCAGCTATTTAAAATCTGTCAAGGTCCGTTGCCTCTAGATCGAACGATTACAACGCCTCACTAATGATATTGACCGACGAAAATAACATAATCGTGCTGATTACACGCTACGCTATTCAATGAATCGCGTAATACACTTTTGATTATACCTTTTGAATAATGTGGCACGTGTCGTTCGTGGAAAATGTCGAGAGCTTGAACGTGGCGCGCGTAATTTCTTCCACAATCGGCTTTCAATTTTGCCGTGATATTACATGGTGTAACACGTAGTCAGAACAAGTCGATCATTTTGGATCGTGTAACCGGTAATTGCACTTGAGTCGCATACTTGCGGCATAACGGTCTCAAGAAGATTGAAAACGATATTCATTAACCGTAATGAAAAGACTCGGCGGGCTATTTATTTTTAATGATAATCGATCGTCCGTAAATCTTCTGTTTTACGATCGTAAAATCGGTATATTATACATGTCGTTGAGAGTTTGAGAGTAATTTCATCTGACGACGGTAGAGGAAAATTCGGCCGCTTGATCGTTTCATTTAACTGAAAACAAGTTTGCGAATTGATGGAGCGTAGCAAATAACGAAAAGTGTGCATCGTGAAAAGAGCGAACGGTATGCGTGCAATTGCATGCAGGGAAACAGGTTCGAGATTAAATTGCTCACGTGACTCCTCGGTTGATCTAGATTCCTGACGAATGTAATAACAAACCGTTTCCTTCGAAGTTACGAGATTCCAACACAGTCTCGCAGTACGAGACAACATAGATTTAGACTGCAAAATAGATTATGCGAAAAGAAATATTCGACCTTTTTTTTGTCTCGTTTTCTGGAAGATTAGTCACCGCGACTGGCAAACTTTCGTTGCGAGATAATTCGAACCTTCGGTTGAGACTTTTTGGGGATCGATGATCGGAAAGAAACGCGAGAAAGCGTTGCTTGACCTCGAGAGGTGAACCAATTTTAGGAGATCCTGGCTGGTTGATCACTCAACGATTAACCTTCTTCCACTACCACCAATGGTATTGGAAAAAGCAATGGCCGTTTCCTTGCTCCGGCTCAAAGCTCGCTAATTACCGGGTTAAGGTCAACGGTTCCATTTTTGACGAAGGTTAAGAAACTATCCGCGTGGCTGTCTGCGCGTAGCATCTCTGTTAACCCTTTCTCGCGAAACATCAGCCAAAATGACACGAAATCTCTAATAACGAGCTGTTAATAAATGACTGTTATTTAGTTTCTAAAAGATCAAGTTGATCATTTCTAGATACGACAGGAAAGACGTAATTCTTCCGTTAGATAACATCTGTTAGAAAAAAATCTCAGCCATTATTTCGAGAGATATTCCTGCGCCAGTAAGAATTACGGTTTAATATCCAGCACTATAGCCAGGATAATGATACAACCCTGCCTATTACGATCCGCTGTTTCTTTCAGCATGCCCCCTCGGTAAATCGGTACAAGTGAAAAACCTTGTCCCACTTGCTACGTTTTCCTGCTTTTTGCAAATTAACGTCTCTTCCCGCGGAGTGAAGGGACGATCGAATCGAATATATTCTCGAAAGGCGGCCTCGCCATCGCCAAAAGCGTGATGATCGGATTCCCTTGAATCCGACGAGTGATGATTGAATCTCCGCTCCCTGATGCACGCATGCAGATGCTCGGCCTTGCTTCGAAACGCGTTGTTGCACGCAGGAAAGAAGCAAAATGACTTCTTGCGGAATCCTCGGGACACGAGGCGGCGGATAATCGCCCGCGGATGACACCGATTTATTCTCCGCCCGAGATTCATCGCCGGAAATTATGCGAACTTCTGGGAACCTTTCGACCAGACTCTCCAGGATAATTATCTCTTTCTTCGTGTTATTCGTTTGTTTAATAAAAACGAAGGTCGTCGAAAATGCTGAGGGACGATCTCTGTCTACGATCTTTTCCGAGAGAACGCTTTTAGTATTCAGATTATTGTGTAGTTTCGATGCAATTGATGCAATTCTTTGACAGATTTTTATGAATTAAAGAGTTTTGTTGGTCAAATAATTTCCTGAATTTGACAGTGTAAGGTTTCAAAATATATTCGAGTACACGTAGATCATTTAGAATAGTTTTTACTTAAAAAGTTGCTATATTTAAGGTTTTTTAAAAAGTTACTACACGACAGAAATATGAAATACAAAGAGAACTGACTCTTTATAATGAAATACGTGTAGTAAGAAGTCTTTGTAATAAAATCATGTAGGACAAACAACGTAATTCTCAAAGATCGTGGATAATAGTTCTAGGAAACATGAAATTCAAATAATTCGTATCGTTTTTGTATCTATCTGTTTACCTTACTCGCATTAAACGCACGAAACAATTGTTAAGAAATAAATAATGCCGGTAACGCATGAATGCTAAGAAACTTCCTCTTTATGTAATTAAATATGATGTCTCTGACTGCTGGCACCATTTTGTAGTATACTTCAAAGAAGTTGGAAGAATTAATAATTGCTTAGAAGTTCTAGTCAGGCTGTGTGCATATCTACCGTATGACTGTATTTTTACATAAGTGGAACTGTAGAGTAACGTCGGAACGTACATAAGGGTTAAAAAGTTTCATCTTCAGACCGCGGAATTTCTAAAGTGTGAGTCAGACAGAGAAGCAGATTCTTGTATGTAAATTCGAGTGATCGCGTACTTGAGGTTTTTATATAGACAATAATTGAAATTTATAGTCTGGTAACTTCAGAAGATAGCCATTATAACTATTAATTGTACGTTGTGATAAAAATTTGCAAAAAATCTACGAAAGTATTGGAATATTTCTAGACAATAACATTATATAACTCGACCATAGACTTAAACGTTATTCATCTTCTTGTCACTTATTCAGCAACGTCCGAAAGATTCTCCATAATGTAACGGCTGAGGGACGGCCTCTCTCGAGATGAGCCAAAACAACATTTTTCTTAGAATATTCTGCCAAATCCCAGACGCTACCGAGGGAAGAGAAAAAGAAAGAAAAAGGAAAGAAAGACAGATATCCCATTGAAGAGGCCTCTACTATTCTCCACTTTTATCGCACGGATCGTCGCGTCAGCGTGAATCTCTCGGTCTTTTTTTTTTTTAGGGTCGATGACGAACCACGTTGAAGAAGAACGATGTCGCGATAAATCGGTCCGTCTAGACCGAGAGAACGCCGTTTTGAATGCAGACGCGCGTTTTTTTTTTTTTTCTTTTCTCCACCGTGATTTCGTTTTAATTTCGGCCGGAACAACGTCGATGGCGATTAAAATCTCGTCGCAGGCGAGAGCATGCGGTTCTTGTAGCGACGCGTGACGTCATTAAACACGCGCACAGATCCGGATTCCGATCGCGACGCTGTAATCATACGCGAAGCGTCATCGGGATATGTCCCGGGTGACGGTTTAATTGAGATCGCGTGGGTAATCGGCGGTAATTTGATTTTGCAATGGTAATCGTCTTCCCTCGAGGCTCGAAGACGTTTCAGTCGACTTTTTTTTTTCTTCTAAGCTGGACGTGCTCGGTGGCACGTGGAATCAATTACACGGATGAATATACTAACGAAGATTTATTTGATAATTGGATGGAATCAATGAAATTATAAAAAGAACTGATGTCGTGTTGCGAGAAAAACGAAGAACGATAGTTTTTTTTTTCTACGATGATTCACAATATTTAATATCTCTAGGAAGTACAACATTATCCATTGTGTTACACAGTAGAGTAACACAAATCAATTGTTCTAGATCTTTTCAACGTTCGCACTAGCATGCGTTGAAATATATTTCGGGGACGAAATATATCTCGTGTACAGGGTTCAAAGTGAACTTGTGACTTGATTTAAGTGATAAATCTTTGCATTTCCCTGGCTTGTGACTAGAGACGAAATACATAATTCTTAGGTTAGATTGTTAAAGAGATTAAGGAGCAAATAACAGTCGAACTAGACTAATAATCAACTGTATAAATGACAAGAAAGATCATGACCCGTAAGCATTGCATCGACTTGCAAAACCGGTCAAAACTTGCCAAAGACTACAAGCAATCGACGCGAAAGTCCTCCAACCGATGCCAGAGATAATACAAGAAGCAGGCATGCACGCGCGAGAGGTAGAATCGAAGAGACACGTGGCGACACGTTTCTCCCCGAAACAATGGCCAGTGGTGGCGATCGGTCGCGCGGATTGTCCCCGTGAGGCGGGGGCCACCTTGACCATCGTCAAGGGCCCGTTTAGAGGGGCTCGGACCCAAGGGGGGCAGGGATTAAAGAGGCATGGTGGCCTCCAACGGCGACATATAAGTCCCAGGAACAGCCCCCACTTCGCGTCAAACGTTCCCGGTACGGCAAGCGCGCGGTATACACACCTACGATCCACCTTTTATCGGCGACGTTTTGCTCGAGGAGTCTAGCTTTACCGACCTTCCGATCAGATAGAAGGAGGGCTTTGAAACTATCGTAGCTGCTCCCTTCCAGCTATCGAGCAACGGACGGTACCCTCCAGTGGAAGCTGGTGAACATTGCCCAGAGTGCCTGTAACACAGACTCGAGACCATAGTTACTTTCTGGCTCGTCTAGCGAGTAGCGTAAATACTTGGCGACCGGTCAGTCGTCACGCGACTGCTTCGAGCACGACTGTTCTTCCGCTGGACGGAATCGAAGAGCCATGAGAATCGTAAGTAACACTCGCATCCGTAACAAGCGCAAGTTTCAAAGAGAGAGAGAAAAGGAGGAAAAGAAGCGCGCACTTGCACGCAACGGAAGAGATTCGTGGTAATGGGGGAAGGGAAGTTTTCCTCGGTAGTTGGTCCGTAGGCCGCGATTAATTGGAGGGGGCGGTGTATTCGGTGGGAGAGACTTTCGCGGGACTAGACCGCGCGCTTTTATAGTGAAGTAACTCGCGCTCCCTGTACTCGTTCGATCGATCATTGTCTCTCTCTCTCTCTCGGCCGGGTACAGAAGTTCTTGTGGTTGTGTCACAATTTGGCACATGTCTCGTTCGATCAGCAGACACGAGTCGTGATCCGGTTCCCTTTCCGATCCCCGGGGAAATGAGGTGTTTGGCTGGATACCATCGAGCACGGTAGTCGGACGGATCGAAGAACGACGCAGGAGAGGTTCACGCAGGATGACGGTGTTGCGAGTGAGAACATACATTTATCATCGTTTTACGTTTGAACTGTCGTTTTGTGCTCGTTTTGCGTTGGAAGAAAATTTTGGTATATTGTTTTTGTGTCAGCTTTTCATAAATATTAGTCGATCATAAGTGGCTCAGCATTTTCACGGGCCTTTCACGCGCAAACTTTCTACGATTGTCCAACGCGATTTCGATTCATCGGTCGCGTAGAAATCGCATCTCCGTATCGGGGAGTTAATTTTAAATCGTTCGTTATCGTTTCGACTGCTTAGCCGAAGGCAAGATCGGTTATTAGAAAACCGAGAGAGCGGGAAGCCATCCCGACACTCCTCGTCGTGATCGGGTAAAAGCATGCAAACCACGAGATTCGCTTATTGTGGCCGAACTTTCTATATCCTCCTTTCTGGAACCGTGGCTCGTATCGTGAACTACACGATTCTCGGTATCGCAAGCCTGACTATCGTCATGCTCATCTCTCACCTTCGTATAATTAAAACATCCAGAAGAAATCGCGGCATTATCCCAATTGAGGCCAGTTGAACGACTTAATAACATCCTGAACGATTCGCAGCCGTAATAATTTCATTGCGATCGAGTATGCTCGTTACCTTGGACGATCATATCGTCGAGTTACATATTCCGAAAGTAGGCTGTAAATTTATTCAAAAGACGAGAGATTCGTTCTCCATCTATCCGGATACTTTCCAAACCTTTCATCCTCGTCGCTTTCGTCACTCACCTATTCGAAGAGAAAGTAATGAACGATCTCACGCAAGTGGATTGCACCCGGTTAATTAACAGATCGTTTCGTTCGTCGAAACTGATAAATAGAGGGAAGTTGAACGAACGTTCCCCGAGCGAAGAAAATCCGTAAACTCAACTCGAGTTCATTCACAAGATCATCGTAGCCGTCGGCGAGACAGGTCCACGTCCTTGCCCCGGGCTGTCGTATCGTTTGCGTCTCAACTAACGCGTCTGTTTCTCTGTCGGGTTGCTCCGCCGGGTTGCGTAACAAATATGCGTTGGTAGCTTGTTGATATCAGACGATGATCGATTTAAATTTTCTAGAAACTTGATAAAAGAAAATCGTCAATTGATTTAACAGAAAATTCACGGACTATGAAACTCGGGAACATTAGGAAGAAATATTCCAACAATCGTTCGTTCCAAGGCTACACTTTGCGGTTAAAATCTTAGATTTCATCGATAGTTGCGCAACGTGATGAATAATATCGTCGACGAGAAGATCGATAAAAAGAAATGTGGAATCAGATCGGAACGACAAGGGTAATTCGTTCCAGCCTTCCGCGAAAATCAGCTCGAAGGTGCGCTCGAAAATTCAAATCAGACCCCACTTCCGTTTGATTTTTTTTTTTTATTGCACGCTTTTTTCCAATGAAATAAAAGTCTGGGCTCAACGAAGTCACGCACGAAAAACGCTGCTAACCACTACCGCTAAAATGAAAACGACCGCCGATTCTGGTCACGCGACCGGGATTCGATAGCGCCTTGCGAAACGGCGCGATGTTAATTCCTACTTGGCGAGCAACTAACGAGGGAAAAAAGGAGTGTCGCGACACTTGACTCTCTGAATCTTTTCGATTCGCGGCATAAATGTCCCAAGGTCCCGATACTCGGATTTTTCGAGTCGGACTGGGACGAGGACTAGGTTATTGCAGCGTACGTGTTATACATGGCAACGCGAAAATGGTTGAAAACGTCTTCTGGTTGTATAGTAATTTCAAGTTGCTCAAAATTATATATGCATGTGTGGAGTTCGTTTTCATTAGGAAACCACTGGACGCATTAACGACGCGAGATCGGTTCCCTCGATCGCGGTGGATCGATTACCCTCTTCACACTCGGTCGTAGGTGCGCGTTCTCACTTTCTAAACGAGCCGGCGAGTAATCGACAGCGACACTGACGTTTCCAGGGGCATTAGAGACGTTGGAGAATCGTGAAAGAAACTGAAATGAGTGCACGAGGTTCTCTCTTTCTCGTTCTAGTATATATTTCTCTTTTTACACGCGTGTCGAAAGTGCTTGGAGATTGTATTTGAACGGTGATTTGATATGCGAATATTTTCCATCAGTTTCGGAGGATCTGGTGCGTGAAGTAGACACATAATTATGGTATCTCGCGGATTGATTTTAGATACATTGCGACAGAAAGCATTGTTACCTAGGAATTCGAGACGACAGTTTTTCTTCTCTGATATTCGATCGTGACAATATTTCTTCATTATCATAAAGCAATGTACTTACACGACGGTCGATCGCTCGAGAAAGTAGAAACACATTGGAAAAGGTGTGACGAAAAGGCTCCATAGATCATCTTCGAGTGGACAAGAAATATTGGTCACACCGTCCGCGTGAGATTAACGAGGAACAGGTTGCGCGAACGAGCACAACTTCTCTTCAACAGGAAGAATTTCGCAATCCTTCCTCAAACTGAACGACGCCATTTCTCGTGTCTCACCTATTTCCAATAGCGATTTCAAAAAAAAAAAAAGAAAAAAAAAAGACAGCAACGAATAAATGATCGGCTATTAATACTCGACAAACGAAATCCATCGATTGCACATGCAACGATTCATGGGCCGAAATAAATCGCGTTCCGCTCGATAGTAGCTCGGTATCGGTAATCGCGGTCGATTAGTCACACGGACGAAACCTCGATTTCATTTGTCGGTTTATTAGTCTTTTGTTTTTCCTGGCGACTCTGATTGTGGACGATTGTAAATCAATCAGATTACATTCATGAACACTTCACACCTTTCGGCATCGCAATTTCATACAATTTTTCCACGCGTAATGAGATGTAAGAAAACGTCATTTCCAGTGAAATCCACTAATTAATACATATGAGAATACGTTTTTCGACTCTTAGCTTCTTGATGGTCGATTGTCACTGGGAAAATGAATAATTTTCACGGAGTGTGAAAATAATTAGATTGTAAATGATTAGATTACGCTCAAAAATTTTATTGCTTTTCGCAAAAGTTTCGACATTACGGAAAGTTTTTTTTTTTATCTTGTATCGAAGAAATAAATGACTTTCAGTTTTTCAATAGTATATTAACAGTGTACAAAGAAGACTTTGTTACTTACAGCGCGAACTTGCGATCTTTTTTGACATTTGTCAATCAATTTTTCGAGAACTTAATTACGCTGGAAGAATAAATAACTTTTGGATAAGTCGGGAGATACGGCTCGTTATACGCAGGGCGAAAGTGGTCCGGGGAACGGATTGGAAAGGAGAGAAGAGCGATCTGCTGGTCTGCTGGTCTTTTATTTTTTTTAAAATCCCCCCTAGTGAACGGTGGCGATTTTCACGCTTTGGAAAGGTGAACCGATGGAGAAACGTTTCTCAATGGTTTTTTTCCCCCTTGATGTCTAGGCTGTTGAACCGTAACCGCGTGCGAAATCGGAAGTGTATCGTATCTCGTTTTTTCGTTTCTCGAGAACTGATTTACTTTTTTCACGCGTTGCCTTCGAGCTATCATTGACGTAACAATTGTCATGCATCGAACAGAATCTAAACGAGGATCGCATCAACCACCGATAGTCGGCGGATCCTCTCGCGTTGAACGAAAGCAGAGATAGATAAACGTTGCTGAATACTAGACTGCTTCAGAGTTGAGCGACTCGATAGGTCTCTCGATAAGATAAAATAACATCGATACGAAAGGAAAGTTGGCGTTACAAATTGGATCGTGTAATATATATTAAAGATATCCGAGATATCTGATTAGAGAACTGCAAGGCTAGATTTGAAGTAGAAAGTAAGGCAAGATTATTTGAGCAATCTAGGCTTCGACATCTTAACTCGTTAAGGACCAAGCAATAATTTATCTTAATATTCCAAGTACTTCAATTTGTTCAAGTTTCGTAAAATTGCAGAGTCTAGGTAATGACGGAATTTACTTTCATTAGCCAGTTAGTATTACAAAGAATTTGATAATATAAATTGATTGAAAAGAGTTGACCGAAATGAAATGTTGTATCAATGGAACGTTGGTTCTCAATTTTGAATGAGTCTCAGTTTTGAAGAAAACAAATTGCTTGGCTCGAAAAAAATATATCGCAGCGATTCAAATAACTCTATCTTGCACCGTCTCGACTAAATTTTGAAAGATTTGAGAGCGTAGAGGTTCTTCGGGATAGAAATTCGACCCGCTTTCTAATTACGAAGACGTTCGTCGTCCAACACCTTTGGCCGTTGTTTCGCGCAATAATTGGCCCGCCGCCAAGTATGAAACCGAACGCGAAGGATTGTACGAACGACACACGCAGGATGAAATCGGGGATGCTCGCTTTCACTCGATCGTTCAAATTTATAGGAGCCCCTGAATTAGAACGACTCCACTGTCGTAACATACACTGCTACGTAAAGGCATTTGAACACTCGTTACGAGAAACTTTATATCACTATTGTACGTATTACGTAACATATATTCTGAAATTCCGTTAATGAGATTAATGAGACAGTTATGAAATTACGTCAGTGAAACTTGGAACCACAATTTTGGAAAAGT